AAAAAAATCAAAATATTGAGAAAATCGCCTTTAAAGTTGTCCATATGAAGTTCTTAGCAATGCATATTACTAATAAAAAATTAAGTTTTGATATATTTACGGTAGGAAATTTACAAAATATCTTCATGGAACATGATCTTTACTTAATATCCTAATGATTTTTATCATAAAAGAAAAATCAATAATTTTGACCCATACAATGTATTTTTGGCTATTGCTACAAATATACCCCAGTGACTTAAGACTGGTTTTGTGCTCCAGGGTCACATATATGGAGAGAGAACCCTGGCAGCGCAATGCTTTTATACTGAGTTTTCTGTCTACTATCCACATTGATATATAGCCTCGACTATATCCCACCAGTACTGAAATGAGATTAGCCAACTGGAAAGTCATTGTTCTGTGCAGTACACATTTAAGATGGCTGGGAAAATGTGTATGTATGTGGCACTGAAGAGAGACAAAACCTGATTACTACTCGCAGAAGGCTCACAGAATGACCATAAACATCATCCCAGAGGAGATTGAGAGCCCATGGAGAAGAGGGAGAGATCTAAAAATCTGACTTAGACTGTCCATCCGGCACATCGCATCGCATCACATCACATCACATCACATCACATCGCGCCTTTAAATCTAAATAAAGTCTCAGAGACATAAGTTTATACAGAGCCTATGTCAAAGTGTCAGTATGGGGCAATATTAATGCAAATGGGCCTTCAAACCTACCACGTCGTCAGGGCTTGGTAGAGAAATCATCTGAAGAGAGTTTTGACAACGTTATTTTGAGGCATGGTGGCATGGTATGTAGATCTGCACTGACAGGTTTTTGAAAAGACTTTACCCACAAGTCGGTGTGTGTTGAGAAGCGCTACTGAAGCTGTGCATCTCAGGTTTGCGTAGTCAACCAATTTTACCTCGCAGAAGACGCAATGTATATCTTTAGCAAATTAAACCAAGTTTTTAGTGGAAATGAAGGTATAATAGTGAAATATAAGTACTAGGGCTGTCAATTTAATGTTAATGTAGTGCAATTAACTTTTTGTAATGATATTGCCTGCCACCATAATTCAATTTGTTTTAAATGTCTTATTTTGGGGCTTTTCTCAGCAATTATTGATGCATGTGATTCATTTGATTAATATTCATCTTGTCATGTAATTAATTGGTAAAATTCATCAGAATGTGTCATATGTAACAGCCTTCTATGTTTTAATGCTTTCCTTGTAGGATCTAGCTGTTTTTGAGATTACATTTGATAGGCCATGTAAGCTCTTGGAGAAAACATGTCAATATCCCAAAGGGCAGAGTGGATGAACAATGCAATTAGAGCCAGCAGATCTCTCATTAAGCAGATCAAGTTCCTCCATGGATTCTAGATTGTTCCACAGTTAATTTAATCAATGCATTGATTGGTTTTGTCTACTGAACATACATATGACCCTGGAAATCACCTTTCAAATTTCATCATTTCCCCTTCATGAAAGATTTTTAGATATTTAATGGAAAATAGGAGATAATACTAATAATACTGCAGTGTATCAAAACTGCCAAACATAACCAGCCAAAATATGTTACCATGACGTTCTTAGAAGTACCATTTAAATACCAAGGTTTATTAATTTAATGCTTTGTCATATCTCACTGTATGTATAGCCCTGCCACATTACTTAAAATTCAGTCTTAAATGGTTTGTTCCTGATGATCAACAATGTCAGGAGATCTTGTTAAAAATGTCCCTGAGATAAAGGGTGCATGATCTCGAGTCTAATCCAGGATTAGCACTGCCATGTTACCTTGCAGATGGGCAACCAGTTCTGGATTGCAGTCTGCTACCTACCCCATCCATTCCACCCCCATCCCACCAACTCAAGGAGCTCTCAGCACCCTTCCTCACGACTATGACACCAACACACAGTGTTGTTTTTGAAAAGGGCTGATCTGTGCATTTTGTTTGGCTGGACCCATGGCTCCTATGCAGAAAAGTGCTAACGGCGTGCCTTAATCCAATCAGACAAGCCCAAACTCAGAACAATAGAGCACACGGCGTAGGAAGTCCAAATCCTGCAGTCACAGCAAAAGCCCCTCTGAATGTAATGCAACCATGCAAAGCAGAGGAGAAGCAGATGGACTTTCCCCGCTGCAGAGGGGTGGGGTGCCGCAGGGTGATTGAAGGAGGGAGCTGCATTGCTGTTCAGTTGTCAGCTGTCTAATTTAAAGCGTAGTTAGTGCACAAGGAGCCGTTGCTCACGCATGGGAGTCTTTATTACTACCCATATATTCAGTATATTTTGTGTCACTGTAATGCAAAGAACTGGTCTGTCTTGCATAAATATCGAAGACAAGCTGATTTACAATTATTTTCAGGAACTGGCAACCTTTCCCCCTGGCCACTGTGTCATTCACTTCTTCATCTGCAGACCAGTTAATGGGGGAGCTGCAGTTGCAGTACCTCAGAGCAAACCACACACAATTGCAAACATCTCCGTCAGCCCGAGTTGCCACAATTTTCAGTTTTTTGTTGTGTGCACTCATTTCTTCTGACATCTCTGACTTGCTTGTCAACGTGACTGCTCTGGGCAAGAACAATGACTCATTGAACCCTATCCTTACATCCAATTTCCATGTTTCTCTCCTTTTTTTATGAGTCTACGAGATAATCTAATCTAAAACCCACAGCATTGAGCATGACTCGATGCTTTGAAATAAGCTTTCAACTGAGTGGCCATTTTTGTTGCTCTGGCTTTGCATGTATGGATATGCGGAGGACAGGCTTGATTGGTGACAGAGGGGGAAATGCAGGCGCTGTGCATGCATAGTCTCTGCACATCACAAACAGCATTGGTCATCATTGTTAGAAACAGTTGCCAGAGTTAGATTTAAATTGCCTGTCACTTTCTGGCCTTTATCTGAGAAAAAAAAATCTGGTTAAGTCACATGGATTTGAGATTGAATGATGACTGATGTTTGAATGGCTAATATGTTTTATGGTAATCAAGTCAACTGTAACATACTCTCATATATTTAATGTACTGTAATAATTGTTAGAAAGGTGTAGGTGTGTTTTTGCTTGTATGTCTAAGGCTGATTTTCATAAAGAGACTTAAAGTACATTTGCTACATTGAACAGTCCCCCTTGAGCAATGTGGTTTCAAGTGAATGCAAAATGAGGAATTACCCCAGCACCAAAGAAAACCATGAGACCTGCTACCATGTGGATGGCAAAAATGCAACAAGTGGCAATAAAGCTTGCTGTTGCATTGGAATCGAACCCAGGTCTCCGGTGCGGTAGGCAAAAATTCTAACACTGAACCACCAATGCTTATTTAGGATATTTTTCTGATGCCTCACCTGGATTTCACAGGCCTGTTTTAAAAAGTGTGACATTTGTCTTTAAAAGTGTTATTTGTATTGGCCAGTGAGTCGAACCCGGGCCTCCCGTTCACTAAACAGCCCTAAACCCTTTCCCATTCATTCTCAATGGTAGTGCTAAACCACTACGGATGCAATATTCTCTTGGCCACTAACACCCTCTTGGCGCTCTTCCGTGTTTTGGCACCCCGGGAAGTTTGAATTTGCCATTTTTCCCCCGCGTGGCAGGCCAGAATTCTACCACTGAGCCACCAATGCTTGTGAGACTGTGCTCATGTTTTGTGTTGCCTCACTGGGATTTTACAGGCCTGTTTTAGAACATATGAAAGTTTTGTCCTAAAAGGATTCTTTTGTATTGACCTGCTTTAGAAAGTGTAAAATGTATCCTTAAAAGTCTCTTTTCAACCACCAATGCATAAGGTTTTTATTTATTTTATTGATTTATTTTTTGAGAGGTTGTCTCACTGTGTCTTTATAGGTCTGTTCTAGAACCCTTGAAAGTCTTGGCCTCAAAAGGCAACTTACATTGGATGAAAATAATACCATGGTCTTGTGAGTGTATGTTACTGTAGTCACTTCAGCTATACCCCCCTCACAGTTGGCACACCGGTGTTCTACACCAAAAAAACGTATCTGAAATGTCATCTGAAACAGAAAAAAAAAGCAAACGAAAAGAATGGATATATTGCATAGCATTGCTATTTAAAATTACTCTAAAATGCTCTCTCAAATGACCACATTATTCTGTAATAACGTGTAAGTAAATAATAGAATAAAAATGTCACATTTATTTTTTATATCATGACTGACATGATAATATTGTAAACATGGTGTTTAATGTGTTTTTTTTTCCTTTCACAGTCTTAAAACTACACTGAAAAAGAAATTAACAAATGATACCGTGGATCTGTCTGCTATCCCCCTCTCTGGCCGTGATCTGCATCGTGTGGCATACTACCTTCAGAACGATGGTTCATCTGTGACGGCAGTGGACATCAGCTTCACAGAGCTCCAAGATGAGAGCTTGCGACTTCTTTTACCATTCTTAGGAGTGCTACCCAAACTCACCACACTTGCAATCAACGGTAACCGACTGACTGTAGCTATTCTTAAAGACCTGATAGAGGTGGTTAAGGACCCCCAAAAGTTTCCCAGTTTGGCCTGGGTGGACCTGGGCAACAATGTGGACATCTTTACTGTGCCTCAGCCGTTGCTGGTCGCCCTACGCAGACGCTTTGGAATGAGAAGCAGCCTACCTACCATCTACGAAAACAGTGAGGGTCAAGGCAGCAGCTACTTCCTAGAGACTTCTACTGAGGAAATCAGTGTGTTTGAGGAGGATGAAGAGGATGAGCTGGAAGACCATCTGGTGCTGGAGCCCTGGAGTGTAGAAGAGAAAAATACATTGCATTACTGTGAAAGGTGATGGTGGTATTGTTCTTTTGTTATTCTAACACTCCAAATAAAGGTTCAGTGCATCAACATTGTAAAAGCATTAAGCACCCATTTGCCACAAAACCTAAATGGAGTGCCATGAGACAAAAAATGGTTATGTAAAGTTGGTTCATGGAGGGAGGAAGAAGGGTCAGGACCTGTTCCTCACTCCCACAGACTTTATTCTTTAGTCCAGTTGCTGCAGAAAGCACCAGTGAATCTGTTGTTTGCAACATTAAATTCAAATTTAGGGCCAAATACTAACTGACCACATATAAAATAACAGAACAAGACAAATTTGTACGACATAAAACAACTACCACCCACATCAGCAACTTTCAAGCTTCTGATGTGAAACTTTCGCGTTTGGCTTGTGACAGATATGGCCAAATGCTCCCCTCTGAGAAAGCTTTTGTCCAGGGTAGATTCGCCTCAATTAGACAAGCACTGAGAGCAAGGAGAGGTGAGAGAAGAGAGAAAAAAGGCTGCTAGAGTGCCTTCGGGCTAGAAGAGATACTGATGTCTGTGTGTTTGCATGTGTGTGTTTGTGTGTGTGATGTTTTTCTGTGGAAGCTTATGATGCAAATGTAGCTTTAGCCAGAGCTCATTAAACAGGACACAGAGGCAGCTGAGAGAATAACAATGCCACACAACCGACATGGTTATTTTTCATTAAATCGCATCCAGGTTGCAACAAGGAATGACATTATAAGACACATAAGCAGCTGGCAATGTTTCGTCAGCGCAAAAACCATGTTTGTAGTGTCAGTGAAATTGATTTCAGTGTTTTTATAGAAAAAATTAGTTTGGTTCATGTCAGTATTTTATATTTTTTAAACAAATTTGATGTTACAGAGTTCATTTATTAATTATTAATGCTGTGTGTGCGCAAATGCACAAGTGTTTGACAGTAAATGTGACCTTTTGAGTTGTTTTATGATGCCCTTTGCTCCACAGGTGGTTTTTCCTTTACAGACGCGTGTCTGATTTGCACTTTACGTGACAGGCTTTTCTAGTTGGCTGGTCATCTCCAGGTTTTTTTTTTTTGTTTGTTTTTTTATGTTTATGACTCCAGTGTCTAAATTTTCATTAGTTCAAAGATAATGTGTTCAGTTCTAGTATAAATGTCACAAACAGTGTGACTCTTAATAGCTTCGAGCACCTGGATGTTCTTTTTCTTTCTGTTTTATAATAAACACTAATAAATGATTGTTCTTGCTGTGTGAAATAAACTCTGTTTGTAAAAAGACTGGACATCACTGTGTTTGAGATGACAGCTCCTTTTTTAAGGAGCTGCATTTGACAACATGCTTTTGAGATACAGGCTGGACAGGAATATTACCTGTTTTTTACCTGCCAGATGTGTTTTTCTCTCATTTGTTTTTCAGAATTAATGTACAGTAAGTAAGTAAGCAGTACTGTCACTATATGTATTGGGATATATAAATAACTTTCTTACTTGATGAATATGATTTGGGAGTCTCTTACAAAAACGGTAACAGCATGGTTTCCATACTCATGATATTTACTGTATATGGTATATTTAAAAGAATATAAGTGTCTGTTTTATATTCAAAAACATGGTATTACCACAGTATTTTAGCTATTGAGTATATGCTTTCCAGTCTAGTGCTGGCCCGTGCAAAACAAAAGGCTCTTTTTGATGAGGTTTTCTTCCTCTCTTCATTTCTCATCCTGGTGTGATCAATACTGAGGGGTTCTCAGTGTCTCTGTTTGCTTGATGAGAACAGTGCTCTGTGTTAGCAGACAGCACTTTCTTAATGAGACTCCATAAGTCATTTCAACAGCTGGCAGCTTTCACATGCAGCCGCTGGATCTCCACACCGCATACAGAGCTCTAATTCACTAATGTAGCCATTCTCATTATCTTTTTATTTTATTATTATTTTTTTTTTAACATACAATCAATAACTTCTTCTTCTTCTTATACTGCTGTATAGGATTGTTTTATTCATATAGCTCCTTAATCATATTCTATAACAACAGAACAATGATAAATAAGTATCTAAATTCAAAAAGCTTGTTCAAAAAATAACAAAACTGGAAATGATTATATTTGTCTTGAAGCAAAATGAGGCAAGATTGTTACCCCTTCGTAATTAATTTCATTAATCATTCATGCATCATATGGTTAAGTAGATTAATGGCAGTTCGAATTTATAGAGAGGTGATTTAAATGAAAATATTATACTTTTTTTAATTTTTTTATTTGGTGTGGAATTAAACTCTCATATGTGGTAGGTTTGGATTAGTTCATTGGTTTAAATAACCCTGAAAAAGTCAATGACCTTTGATGCGTTCAACTCTCCTAACTGCACAGGAAACAGCAGCTTGAGTCGTCTGAAGTGCAGATGCACCATATGATTGACGAGAGTTCATTGCCCTTTGTAAACTGTGCTTTGAGACATAAGTTAGAGCATTTGTGGTTGATTTGCTCCATGTGTTTGCTATTTGATTTTCTTTAAATGACCTTGGTTGGAAAATTCAGCTTTTTTTGGTCAAGGCCTGTCTCTGGGGTGCATTTCTGTATCAGTGACTGTGTCAGTGTCTTCTGGTTTTATTTGCACCTTTTAGGGGCTTAATAAAAACAACTCATGAAACCCAAATCTTAATGACATCAGGGAATTTCGGCATGAAACATTGCATGCAAGTTATAGTGTTCCTGGAAGACCAGAAAAGTTCTGGGAAAAAATGTAGCTTTACTGGTTAATGTAGCTAGACTGATTGCTATTTCCTGTAACATACACTGTGTCATTCTGTTTATTCAGACACAACATGTGCACATGAGGTTTGAATTTACACTGTGAATTACTATGTTTACTGTAATAGCAGGCCTAAGTTACTAATGATTACATTAAAATGTAATGATTAAATTAAAATAAATTTAAATACATAAAACACTTAAAACTGAAATTAGATTCATATTAATAATGGGAAAACTTTTCAATGAAAAAGCACAAGTTTCGTTTTTGAGACAAATATTAAGTATATATGTAAAATATGGCTATATTTAAGGTACTTACAGTAGCCTCAATAAAAGAGTAAACTATTATTTCCATTGCATTTTGCTTCAGGAATTCAAATCAGTCTATTAAAAACACTATCGAAATCCTTTATCCTGTCACTTACAGAGGTTCATGAATGTTTTAGGTAACTTTTGACTGATCAGTAATTGTAAAAAGCCATCCATCCACCATCCATCCTTCCATTCATTAATTCAGTTTCTATTTACAGTAAAACTCACAGTTTGGCTACTGAAGGTTCACGTTTTATGGTCAATGTCGCCCCCAATTGGACAACGGTTTGAATTGCTTTAACATGCAAAGGACCTAGAAAAAGAAAATATTTTAAAAGACTGTAAATAAAGATTAGAACATCCATCCATACATACATACATACATAAATGTCTTTTAGAAGTATATCGTTTTTTTCTAATTAGTTTCCACTAGTTCATTTAGTTCTCACTGAGGTTGCTTCAAAGCTGAAGGCACCTTCAAGTCTAGTCAAGTCACCTTTATTTGTATAGCGCTTTATACAATATAGATTGTGTCAAAGCAGCTTTGCAGTGTTACACAGGAAAAACGCGTGCTGATAATGCTAAAGAACGATAGAAAACAGTCAGTTTTTCAGTTAAAGTCAGTTCATCGTTGATTCAGTGATGTCATCATTCAGCTCAGTTCAGTTCTCTTCCAATAATGCAATCAAGTCAATATTTTGCCTGAAATTGTGTTCCCAACTAAGCAAGCCAAAGGCGACAGTGGCAGGGAACCAAAACTCCATCGGTGACAGAAATGGAGAAAAAAAAAACCTTGGGAGAAACCAGGCTCAGTCGGGGGGGCCAGTTCTCCTCTGGCCAGACGAAACCAACACGGTGTGGTTTAATTCCAGGCTGCAGCGAACGTCAAATTGAGCAGAGGACTTGTCTGATTCTCGTGGTCTTGTGCCGATGGCCGTCATAACGAACTGTTAGGAATTTGTGTCATAAGTCTTCAGATGGAATCAAATTTAATTAACTTGCCCACTTGTTTCTCAGGTTTGTTTACTTTGACAAGTACATCATGCATAACTTCACTCTGACAGATGGCAAATGTTCTGCCTTCTTTCACTTGTATCAGAAACAATCTTGCTTGTACTCTGACACTACATTTGAATGTTATGAACTTGAATGTGATGAATGTGGATGTAAACCACTGCATTTCTCTCCCTGTAGGCTGTGGTTACTGTCCCATGTAATACTGTGACTCATTTGCATATAAGATCACACATGACCCCCAGCTATTTTCTCATTAAAACTGTACTGTGTATTTAAACGTGTGCGTACATATTTTATATGAATGTTTTAGATATCATATTAAATATATAAAAATACTTTTTTATTAATCAGAGATCGAGATGCTTCTAGAAGAAATCTGGTTCCTTAAATAATTTTGATTTCAACAATATGCTGTATCTGTATGGGTTGTCGTTCACTTAGCCTATCTGGCCACTAGATGACCTGCTTTCACACTTTATTGTAAAACAGTGAGGTGTTGCTATGCGCAACGTTGAAACGTAGAGCTGTTCAACCCCGATGGAACTGAAATATTAAATTCATTTTAATTATGAAAGTTGGTGAGCATGCTGTATTAACTGTATTAATTTATTCAAAGCATGTTATTAAATATGTAGTATTTCTAAATACATTCTGAGTTCAGATGGTTTGTCTTCTTGACATGTTAAAGCATTAACGGACAGCTAATATGTGTTTTGAAACATATGGTGTTTGAGTATTAAAGTATTAAGAGCAGCTGTTTGTGAGGATTAATAATTGTGAAATACCTCGTCACTGCTAGAACATTCCAGCACGTTCCAGTGTGGACTGTAGGCCGAACAAACTATGGAGGACCAAACCTGCAAAAACAATAAATAAATAGACTACTTTCATCACACGTTGAATTATTTATATATGTATTTAAACAAGAATACGTGTATTTATACACACATTTATTTATTTATTTGCTTATTTATTTATTTTTAATTTCTACAGGTTTGGTCCTCCATAAACAAACTGCCACAAAATTTAAATGTAAAAGTTCATCAGAGCTCACTAAATAAACGTTAGAGAAAAGAAATCGCGTTCGCTTAAATAGGTAACCATAGCAACAGACCGCCGTCGACGGACCTTAAGCAGATAAAAACATAACGTTATCATTGATCAGATTTATCATTTATCACATTAACGTTATCATTTATCACTTTTTTAAATATTCATATAATATTGTATATTATATGTATACATTTAAGCACATCGCAAGTATGTCATAAAAAGTTTGTTTAAAAAGTCTGACGCCATCGGATAAGATAATTTCCTTATTAATGAAACTGAGAGTGGAGATTTAATTATCACGCTTAGGGAAATGCAAATTAGAGCTGGACATAATTATCAGCGTTTTACACATAATCTGTTTGCAAATATGTTGAGAAACAGTTAAGGGTCACGCTACAGTGTCGCTGCATCAAACCAAAGCCTGCTCACACGCGTGTCGCTAAGACACGCCCACTCGCCGGCGAGAGCTACGCCGATTGGCTGCTATACATACCAGCGGGTCTTGCTATTTCAGGATTGGCTGATCCGCGCTTTGCCATTACGTTATGCTCTTTTCTACACATACACAAGGATGATAGAAAGGGAAGACGTAATGGAGTGTTCCTGAGCGTCCTTGCGATGAAAATCACTTTAGTATTCGACAGTATTCGCGGACGGGAGTTGCAATGAAGGTATGTAAAAAGAAATAGATGTCAGATTTTTATTGATATGTCGGCGAGATTTGTCATCTGCGTGGAAACAACAAAATATTTTGCGGAGGCTGTTTGACGTTTAATATGACAACAGCCTGACTTTTTTTTTTTTTTTTTTACAACAGCCTGACTTCTTAAGAGTTGCATCAGTTTGGATGCGTCAAATGACGTCTGCAAATAGTAATGCGTGCGTTCTTCATTCTTTTGCATGCTCTTGCATTAAGAGTGTTTGCTTGGG